CCCTTTTCTTCCTATTTCACACTCTTAATTATCCCATTAGGATCTTATGTACTATTATAGTTTTTCACACCAGAAAAACTATTCTATATTTACACATGTGTGACTTATTTATTTCACTTAGGCGTATATCCTCAAAATGTATCCATTTTCCTATGAATGACTCTAATTTCCCATTCTTTATGGCTGAGTAGTATTCCATTTTATAGAAAATCCACATCTTCTTTATCCAGTTTCCAACGGATGGGCAAATGGGCTGTTTCCATGTTTTAGCTATTACAAACTGTGCTGCTATAAATATAGGTGCACATATGTCACTGTGATATGATTCTTTTAATACTTTTGGAAAGATACACTGCAGAGCTATGGCTGGGTCAAATGGAACCTCTAGTCCTAGCTCTTTGAGATATCTCCATATTGATTTCCATGGTGGTTGCACCAGTCTGTACTCCCACCAACAATGGAGAAGGGTTCCTTTCTCCCCATATGCTCCCATCTTAGGGTGTTAGTGTTATAGCCAAAGAAGCAGTAGTCTGAACAAGCACCAGTCCAATTTCGTTAACTTCTCTACTGGCACTTCTGTTAAGGGAATTCTCTACTCTTTTGCTAGTCTGCTAATCATAGCATGTAGGATTATTCCTGTTTTCTATGCCTATATTAAAATTTATGGTGACTTTTTTTCTGAAAAGGAAAACTGATGGGTGAAAATGAACTCTGAGCAATGCAGAGAATGCCCTGAAGATAAGAATCTGATTACCAACATTAAAAAGCCCTTGTCTCATCTACAGGTAGAAACCACTAGGCTTTTATACATAAATTAAATTCGTATCAATATTGGGAATCAGTCATTGTTTTAGTATTGGCCAATCTGGCCCCAAGAGTTTATCAAATAGTGTTACAATATTTTGATACTACTTGTTAAAAGTGAAGTTTACAGTGTGGAAACTAAAATATATGGTAGAATATATGGCTGAATTAAGGCAAAAGAATAGTAACATTTATTTGGAAGACTTGCAAAAGTTTGTTAACAACCAAGAACACACAATATTGTATTCTTGTCCGCCTCTAAGACCTATTTTTGGGTGAATTCAATTTCAAAAGCTATCTTTCATAAAAGGTTCCACCTGTTATTTCAGTGGAGGCAGGAATTTCTTTTTCTAAGTCTAAGGTGATATGGAGTTTTGGATTTCTTGCTGTCTAAACTGTTGTAGTATTTTTCCTCCTCCTCCTCTTCCTCCTCCTCCTCCTCCTCCCCCTCTTTGTTTCCTCTTCCTCTTCTTCTTTTTCTTCTTCTCCTTGTCCTCTTCTTCCTCCTCCTTCACCTCCTTTTCCTTCCTCTTTTTCCTCTTTTTAAATCTGCAGAGTTAACTAACAGTTAAATGCAATGATCCAGGAAATCAATAAATGTATTATAAGAAAAGATCTAAATTTACACTTGGTTTCAGGAGCTATTCTTGAATTAAGAAAAGTTGCATGAGAATTTTTTCAAAAGCTTTCTGAAGTCCTACTTTCAGGACTAAATTAAGAGTCCTTTCATTTTCATAAGCATGATTTTTGGATAGCCTCCAAAAGACCTTTACATACCTCTAAATCATTCAGGTTTTTTATGAAATGTGAGGTGGTTTAGGTCATCTTCAAGATTTTCCCATTTTGTTTTTTCCATCCAACATTTTACATATGACTCCTATTCACATACAATCTAACTGGTATAGATCTGGGTCCCTTATGATATACATTCCTGTGACAAGTCTAAATTTTTCTGTAAATTTTCTATACTTTATTGTTTCTTTAAAACCTGGTAATGGCTGTCAAATCAAAGGGTGATTAGGGCTTAAAATTAACCTCAAAATTTTTTTCTTTTTTTAAAGTAATTGATTTTACTGGAATATTTTAATATACATAATTGTCACATTATCATAGGAAATTTGTACCTGTATGTAATATATCATTTTTTTTTTTTTGGTACCGGGGATCGAACTCAGGTCCTTGTGCTGCTAGGCAGGTGGTGCAACCACTGAGCTAAATCCCCAGCCCCTATATGTATTATATCTTCGTGGTGCTTCTTTTTTTCCCATTCCCCTCATTTGCAAAAGCTTTGTTTCCATATTTTCCTTTTTTTCTCTTCTTTTCTTCCCTTTTCCCCCTCCCTAGTTCCCCTTTCCATTTAAATGTTTTGTTCTTATTTCACAACATCCCTTATGTATTTTGGTCTTTATTTACACAATTTATTTGTCCAGCAAAGAAACCATGCAATATTTGAACACATGAGCTGAGCACGTGAGTCCAATGGATTTTTGTTGTTTTTGTTTTCGTTTTTTTTTTAGACAGGGTCTCACTATGTACTTGAGACTGACCTGGAAGTCACTATGTAGCCCATGCTGGTCTTAAACTCACAGCGATCCTCCTGCTTCAGCCTTCTGAGTGCTGGGATTACAGGAGTGCGCCACCATGCCCAGTCTTGTTTTTTGTTGTTTTTGTGGGGTTTTTTTAGTCTAATGTTGATAGTTCCCAACTTAGTCAGCAGGGTTTTTTTTTTTTCCTTAACCTCTCCTAGTCTGAAAAAAAAAATCCCGGCAGACCATGGAGGTGGAGAAGCATCTTCACAGTCACTCTTCCCTGTGTATACCAGGGAAATTTGCTGCCTAGATGCAACATACTCTTTCTGGAGAAAGGCAGGAGAGGCGAGCACCCCTGCACCCCAGGTCTACCCTGTGTGGCTTGATTTTGCCACAATATTGTTGTCCAGCAGCTTTTGGGGAACTTCCTAGAAAGGCAGTCGTGTGCAGTGCTCAAGTGGTGGTCCCACAGGCAGCTCTGTGAACTGCTTCCCTTTTTATAAAGTCCTATGCCTATATTTATTTGGTCTACAAGTCTTATTTCAGGTTGATTTTGGCATCAGGATGTACATCCCTTCCTTTTTTTTTTAAGAGTAGGAAAAACTTATTGAAACAAAGATAGTTTCTAAGAGAAACAGAAGGGGCACTGGAAAGTGGATTGTCCGTGTATATCTTTTCCTTTCTTCCAATTACGTGTATTTGCAATTGCTTTTCTCTGAGTAATTCCAGCAGGGTTTCTCCTCTGTTCGGCCATGTTGAATTCAACCAAAATTTTTTTTTCTATTTTGAGAGAGATTTAACTTAACTGACCAGGAGGGAAGTAGTGAAAGTCAGCAGGGGAGAAAAGATGAGGAAAAAAAAAAGAAAGAAAGAAACAACCGAGGCACGGAGAATGATGGAAGAAAAGCAGGAAGAGAAAGAGCTTGAAGGCCGAGTTGTGATTTAGAGGGGTAAGAGATGACAGGTGGTTCTAAGTTTTTGCAGTTCTCTTTAACCTTGGCCAATTAATCTCTTGGGGAAATAATTTTGAAATCGAAATTTCTTTTGAATGGAAATCCTTGGAACAAGAAGTAAACCTAGTGCAACTTCTACCTTCCTGGAAGCGTTTCCTGAAATAATAAAGTTGCATTGGATAAAAACAATGGAATAGTAAAATTATATTAGTAAAATCATTTAAGAAGGTTAGGGCATCTCACCCATCGAATGCACAGTGGTTCACAGGAATCCACAAAGATAATTATTGTTTTGCTGCAGCTCTGCCTGTATCTCTTCCCTGAGTGCTCTCCTTGCATTCTCACTCTAGTCCAGGACATTCTCCACTCATCACCAAGAGTGAGATTTTGAAAATACAATCAAAATACTTCAGTGTCGTCCTATTCGTGTTATGTGAAAAGACCAATCCTTACCAAGGCTGACAAAGTCACTGACACTGTCCTTGAACTGAGCCTGGAAGGTGGGCGCACGAAGGGTGTCAAGCTCCCCAAAGCTGCACTACCAGTCTCCCTCTCCAAAGCTGGAGGCCACAGCTCATGACAGGAGATGGATGCCCCTGAGATCCAGAATACTCCAGCCAGCACTCCGAAAGCCTGCTTCTAGGCCTTTATCTTCCGTGTGAGCCATGGCTCCAGGTGCAGGCCTCGCTACAGCCAACCACACAACTTACAGCCAAGAGGTAGCCCAGGGGTAGCTGTTTGCTGGGATAAGAATGGAACCTTATTCTGATGGTCTGCGATGTTCCTATATATGTATAACGTTTCAAGTTATAAGATGAAACTAGAGCTAAAAAGAGAAGAAAGACCAAGGACCAACGGAGGAACTAGAAGCTTAGATCGTTTTTTCTAAACTGTGTTATAACTTTGCAAATAATATGACTTACAATTATTTTATCACAGTTTTCTATCACTATCATGTTTTACATTTCTTCCATTATCTTGCCCACTTTCAGAATAAAAACATCCTTAAACCAAGCCCAGACTTGCTTCAAAAGTACAGAAAGCTCTTTTATTTGCTGTAGTATATGGAGTACTCAAGTATGTGCCTTTAGGATTTGTTTTTCAACTCCAGCGAAGTTTAGACTTGTACTAGGCATTTCAAAGTAGAAATCATCCTTTTTTTCCTGCAACAATTGGCACGTTGATTGTTTCTCATCTGAACTGTGACTCATCATTAACAGGAAAATAGAAATAGTTGCTCAGGAATTCTAAGAAAATAATTCAAAGGACTCATCCTTATCCATCTTGAAATTTCCGTCACAAAATACAATCATCATAAACACAATATGTTTGCAACAGAAAAGTATAAGCATAGTACCCCTGGAGATGAGTTCTCTGGGGGAGACAAGTTCCAGAATGGATCTTTCACAATATTTATAGTTTCTGCCCCATCTACTCAGCTTTAAATGTATAAAGATCCCTTTTGAGTGAGCAGACCATCATATGAATAGAAACTACAACATGACATTTCTTTCTCCCTGTTCTCACCGCACCAGTAAGTTAGAAAAACAAGAACCATATCTGTCTTGTTTACCCTGTACCTATCACTCAATAAATATTCCTTGCTTGAAGGAACAAAAAGTAAGAATGAACAAAAGTCTTTATTAGCAGATCTCATCAGCAAAATGTGCACAATTAACATATGGCAAAAATTTTTTTCCAGCATCCACACGTGAATTGAGAAAGAGTAACATGGTACCTGCTGCCACATTTACATGGACTTAAACAGTCAATGCTTCTCGTGTAAACTCTATCATGGCTTTTCCTCTAGTTCATGGAGCCTCTGTTGGGAGAATCATAAAGCCTGTGAGTCCACAAACCAATCAAGTTCTGCTGTATAAAGACAGTGAGCATTTTTCTTTGGGTGGGGGGAAGTCTAGTACTTTCTTACTTCACAGTGTACTTGATTTCTGAATAGCTAGTTTCAAATAGCATCTGACCATGAATATTTTATATATACATATTAAAGCAAATGAGTCTAGAGTTTCTTTTGCAAACTTCATCACTGTCTGGGATAGCCTGAGCTTTTTATCCCCTTAGTTGTCCATTATCCATTGGCGTTGTTCAGCAGTTCCGCAGAGTGAGACTTTCAGAGCATTAGTCCATGTTGATGTTCTATTGAGCATAGAAGGAATGAAGAAATGTTAGAAAACAGCTATGCACTGCAGCATACTTAGGGCTCTGAAAAGTCTTTCCATTAAAAGAAGTTTCATTTTTGAAGACCTGGACTTTCTACTCTCATTTATTTAATATACAAATTTCTTTTAGATCAAATTGTGCATGCACATCTCTGAGAACACTCTTAAGGAAACTCCAGCACAGACTACTGTATGTAATTCCACATGTTCAAACACTCCTGTTAGATCACATGACAAATAGGTCATGTTTCTGATTTCTTTTTTAAAAACTACTGCTTCAAGAAATATTTAATAATGCTTGGAAATTTTTTTTGTCACCTATCTTGCTCAACTGGGAAAGTTACGGTACTCTAGCTATGTGTTACAAATGTTAACTACTTGGAGACACACTGTGAGATTATAGTTTACTGTAACCCCAAACACACTAAAATACCATCAAGTTGAGGACAAGAATTCCTGGGAATTTCCAGGGAACCCCAGGAAAATGCAAAAGTGCTTCACTTCCTCCTCAAGACAAATGGTGTGAATGTCCAGTCAGAGTGTGAGGAGCAAACAGAAAATGTTGAGGATGCCTCAGGCTGTACATTGAAAGGCAACCAACAGTGGCCTTTATAACCACTATCAGCAAAGGAATCTATATTTCAATCTCCTCAGGAAAATCACTCTATAAACCAGTTTATGATTTTCTTTTCTGATCTTCACTGCAGCTGGTGATTGCTGAAAACGATGATCTCAGAGTCGGTTGTCCCTGCCAGAGAACTTGCACACAAGAGAGATGCCTTTGTGAAGCCAGCCATAGAAACCTGCAGAAAATTGGCCTTCTTTCTTTAATAGAACCACGCGAACAAAGATGAGTTTGTTGCTGACTCAGAGCTGAAAGCTTTGTTTTGTAAAGCTCTCTGAAATGTATTGCACTCTGCCAGAGGAGAAGAGCTCCTTCTTCAAGAGAGAGAGGAGGGAGAAAAAAAAAAAAAAAGAGGAAGAACAGTAAACGGAAATCAGACAACAAATCAAAGTGCACACCCTTCGGGTGGATATTTGTGCATGAAGTGTCCTGAGACTTTTTTTCTCTTTTGGTGAACACTGGTCACATTTCCCAAGCTGAATAAAAATGAAAGGGAAAAAGAACTTTAATTAATGGGATGTCTTTTGATTTGCAGGGTAAAACTGCCACAGCAGATGTACCAGCAAAGAGGATTAGATTGTCCCTTCTATGAGGCACTGAAATTTTCTTTTTCCCCTGTAGTAACCCCATTGAAGAGAGGCTGTCTTTAGTGTCTAAGATTCAGCACTGCAAAGGAACTGTTGTACTTGGACACAATGGGCCACTCTCACAAGACCAGACAGAAGATGTGAGGGGAGAGCTAATATCCCTTTAAATCTGGGCAAGACGGTTTCAATTTTACTATTTTTAAAATGCTAAATGAACAGAGAAAGGTGATGCATTTCAAAGTTGTTAAAATATGCATTAAAGAAAATCTGAAGACTTTCATAAATAATGTGCATCATTTTGAAAATACAAATTGAGTCAAAAAGGAATCTCAACTAATTTCCCTTTATTATATTTTAATCAGCCCAGGGTGTTTTGGTTTGGTTTGGTTTTTGATTTTTGTTTCTGATTATGGTTGAGAAATTCCTTTAAAAACTTATGTGAACAAATAGGCCTACTTAGTTCTGAAGGGAGTAACCGCCTGAATGTTGACTCTAATTGCCGTCTCAGAATCCAAACTGATTTCTAAATCGTCCAGATAGCAATGTTGTGCTTAAGCGAAAGGAGGGATAATGCATTATTGCTACTGTCCTTGATATTATTGTGAAAGGAAAAAGAGAATCAGGGGACTGCATTTCTCCTTAATGTCTAGTTCCAGGTCATTTTGTATTACAGCAGTTCTGGGAAGAAGGGACAGAGAGCTACTCAGCTGGGGTCTGGTTCTAGGGAAAATAGCTGTGATTCTCTGTTTAACTCAGGTTGTGGAAAACTGTGAATGCTGGCACCACCACAGGCTCCCTCTTTCAAGGGAGGGGTGAGGTCAACATGTTGTGGAAGTGAAAGAAATAATTCTCCCTCCCTCTCTTCCCCTCCTCCCTCCCCGTCCTTCCCACTGTGCCACAGCGCCTCAGTGATGAGTAGAAAAATCTGTCCTGGAGCAGGGAGAAGAGTTTATGCAAATGCTTCTCCGCCTCTCTTCTATGTTCAGTTCAGCTAACTCTGGGCTCAATCTACCTCCTTTTCTGCTGTGAGGCTTTGTCTTCTGACAACAAATAAAGATACAATTCACGTATAGAAATTCATGCATATGAGCGTTGGGTTTTTTTTTTTCTTCTCCTCTTATAGTAGCAAAACTGCGCACTTTAAGACAACAGGAATACTATGGGGAAAACGTCTTTTACTTTAGAGTTGTCTGAGTGATTTCTTTTCAGTCGCATCCTTTAGATGGGTACAAGTGCATGTTGCTTAAATAGCCAATCGGGTGACCTACCCGATTGTTCCCACTACTCTGAAGATTAGCCCAAGAGATTTCCTATCCTTTTCATTCTGATACGTAGACAATGTTCTCAGAGAAAACCATCATGTGCTGGGTGACCAGGCAGTGCTTTGTTGACTTTCCTGTTTCCTGATCCAGACCACTACTGTTGTCAGAGGGGAGTCCTGCCTCTCAAGCTCCATATAATCATGTCGATTAGCCCTATGTGCACATAAAGCACACACAGCCATAAGACACAGGAAGGGGCCCTGCACACATAACACACCAGGGAATGGCTCTGCAGGAGATCTTTGCAAGGCAATGTCTAGGCCAACTAATTTTTTAAAGAAATTCAGACACATGGACAAGGGCTCAGGCACGTCCCAATCTATACTGTCACATACCCGCTAATAAAATCCTAATGTCCTGGAAAGTAACAATGATCCCTTTGTTTCTACAGAATAAGGCAGAAATTTTGTAGGCAAAGAAAAAAACTTAATGCTAAGAAACATGTGAAGAAAATTAGATAAACTGGTGGTGTTCCTCTTAGTTTCATCCTCATTTGATCCATCAAACAGCTGTGAATTTTCCTTTTCTGACTACCTGATGCATGTAATTAAAGCCTTATTTATTACTCTAAATCTTCTCACTTCCATGCTAAACCATTGTAGTTCCTCTGACCTCAAAGTTACTACCTTACAGCCCTCTTAATCCCCTTGTACATATGTAAACACTAGATTCTCCCTCCAAACCCTTTGTTCTTCCAAGTCTTGCCATCCTTTCTAGGAGCATGTTTCCTAAATGCAACTGTCTTTCTCTTCCTGGTACCAAGACCTCTTATTCATAACTCCCTTCAGATGAGCAAATTAGTAGTTACTGTAAAACTACTGACCATACTGTGGGAGATGCTGTTGATTGAAATAATCTTAAAATAAAGATCTTGTGTCCAGGAAACTTATAATCAGTTGCAGTAGATATGCACAGAGGGCAGAATGAGAGATCTGCATTGGTTGGGACAAATGCTGTTACACTAGCAAAACTGTATGAGTGTTGTTGTCAGATAACAGTGGGACAGAGGTCAGGCAACACTGTTTATAAGAGGTGGCATTGGAGCCCAGATTGAAAAGGGAGGAAGACACTAGTCAGGTAAAGTGATCCCAAAGGGAAGGCACGATGGGCGAAGGCCAACCCTCTAACAGTTCAAGGCACCATGCAACACCTTTTGTGCAGTCACAGTTGCTCAGCAGGATGACTGGTGATGGCTGACACTTGCACGTGACCTTGCCCTGCAGAAAACAGCCTATTACCTTCTCGTGCCACCCATTGTGAAGTCTACCTCAATCCTCCAGGCCACAAATGTGCTTGTACTGATGTTCTTGTCCTACCTCCTTCTCCCATGTTTAGAAAGAGTTTTGGTAGCTGAACTTTTTCAGAAAAATGAGCCAAATATTCAAGAACATGGGGTGGTACAATGTGAACAGGTACAGCTGTTGAGAAATTGGATTTAGTAGTTAAAATCATATACATCTCTCTATTTCTCACCCATCCTGTCCTTTGTCCAATTTTCATCCTGTGGCTATTAGGACAGTGAGCTGAAGCATATTTTTCATGATTCATTTCTTCCTTTTTTGTACATACTGTTTCCTCAACCTTTAAAGCCTTCCTGCCCCTTCAACAGATTTCTGGTTTGCTTCTTTCTTTCTTTGTTTTGCTTTTGCTTTGACCTGCTGAACTCCTTGTGATCCAGCTGCAAATCATATGTTCTCCCAGGTGTCTGTCTCAAACCACAGGATTCTCTAAGTGGTTTTTTTTTTTTTGGTAACTTTATCTGTTTTTCAAGTGTCCTTAGCTGTTCATCCTCCTTTAAGAAAACTGTAATTAGTGGGAAGCATGCAGAAAGAACTCAGACTTCTTATCAGTAGATCTGTACTCCAGGAGAAGCATAGAACAGGGAAACTGACCAACAAATATACAATTGAATGAATTATGCTATGGTCATATGTGTAAACTCTTTTCATATTCTACTTAAAAATAAACTTTATTGGATCACCAATCTCCTATGAGTCCTACTGTAATGTTTAAGTGGGTTTCTGTTTCTCCACTACAGTACTCATGATGAAGAGTAGCCATTATTTAGGCATCTGACTCTCGATCTGAAGAAGGGGGCTGTCCTATTAAGTTTTATAACTTCCATAACCCAGTAGGTTAACTGAAATATCTTGTTTCATAATTTCTTAATGAGGGCCCCGATATTATCCCAATTGATTTCCATACAAAGAGATGAAGTAAATACTACCAATATAATACTCATTTTATAGGTGAGAAAACCAAATCTCATAGAGGTGGAGAAATTTGCCCAGTGCCAAGAGCTTTACATGAAAAGAATCAATTCTTGTAATTTCCTTTGATTATACGGCATCAGTAAATGTAATGACAGGAGCTTGATTTGGCAGTTTTCCAAGGGAAGCTACATCTTGCCTCTGGTAGAAAATGAAACTTTATTCAACAGCCTATATAGAATTTCTTTTCTTCCTCTAATTATACAGGGTAATTAGATACGCATCTATCTCCTAAAGGGCATTGGGTAGTTTTGCATTGTCTTCTCCATATCAGAGATTGATTTGATATTGCTCATGGACATCTCAGGATGAATAGTTTTAGAATTAATATATGATAAGGCAAAAACTAGCCTGCGTTTGTTTTCAAGAGTTCCTGGGAATTTAGAAACGTGTGTCTTCAATGTTTCTGGTTCTAATCATCATTGTGTAGGATTTAAAGAGTAGTATCATGAAGAGATACTTTCAGCCTGTTTGAAACCTAATAATTACTTCTTCTAGCATTTTTTCATAAATGAGAACAAAGATTTCCTAGCATTTGCCAAGTTTCAAGTACTCTACATTCAATGATTTATTTAATTCTCATAATAAACTCACACTTTTCATTCACCTTCAGATACTTGTACTTGCCTGATTGAAGAGCAATGTGATGAATTATTTAGTGGATAACTAACCCTTGCTAATGTGTCAGTTAGCTATTTTGTAACCTTAGTGTTTAGAGAAAAAAAACTCTTTATTTATTTAGAAGATGTGTCTCTCTAGAAGATACCTATGGCAGGAGTTTCAGATCAAATTAATGTGCATAAAATTTGTATTCAGAATAGGTGTTTGGAGGTCCATACACAATACACAATAGCTAATCCATCTGTTTCTATACAGAACCAATGCTGCTGAAAATATGCTCTGATGGTAGAGCATTTCTGTAACCTTGGTAATGACACCCTGCCCATAGGCTCTCCATGATTCATCAGGAAGGGACATTTGAAAAATTTTATTTAGAAAAGCAGCCAGTCTTCAGCCCAATATTTTACATCCTTTTCTCTGTCAATAAAGGTAGAACTCAATTTGGAAAACATTCATCTCTAAGTACTATGTAACTGCATATAACTGCTCTTCATAAATGGTAGTATAAGTCTCAGAAACTTGGAGTAACAGTGGAGTTTGACACAGAAAAACAAACCCTCTTTCAAGTTTCATCTGACCCCATTTAACAAGAGGGAGAATCTTTTAAGTAAATATTATAACTTCTGTCCCAAATATGTAATGAAGAAATAGTCCTAAAAATATGTCTGAGGAGAGGAGCACAGTTCATAGATTTAAAAGCACTGGATCTTGAAATCATACATGGGCGTTTTGCAGAATCGGTACTTTTTTTTTGTAGAATCAGACAAATAACAACATAGCGTAGCGATCAAATTTTGAAAAGCACAGAAGGTAGGAAAAGGATTCAGAGTGAAAACTTGAGGGCATAATACATGAAAGAGGGTGACCAGAGAAGTCTTCAAAGAGATGACATGCTGACAAAAATTTCTAGGATGAAGTGAGAGTGAGTCTTCCTGGGAACTCGTTACAAAAGTGGTTCTTCTGTCCACATCAGTAAGACCACAGTGGAAAGGCATGGGAGGGACCAGAGTGAAATGTGTAACAGGAGTAGTGGTCATAGAAAGCAACCAGGAGGTACTGGCATGAGATGATGCCTCTCTAACCTATCACAGCCTGCCTCTCTCCCTGCACAGGGTCATAGCTTGTGCTTGGATCTAGACGCAATGTATATTTCTTTCTGATCCATGATCTCAGGTGTGCAAATGCTTTCCCAAGGAGCGATCCCTTGTTCAACAGCCCCAGCTTTGGGAACTCCTGAATAGTGAAAAGAAGGCACCAATTTTACTCTTTGTGGGTGTAGGTGAGGCAGTCGCGATCTTCGTGCACCTGTCACATCTGCCTAAGGCTGCTCCAAATGAGATTCCATTTATGAAACCAAGCAAAAGTTAGTTAATGTTGTTGCTCTTTTCTTTAGTGGTTCTGCAATTATTCAATTCATGCAAAATCCCTTGAATGTGCATTCTCCAGGCAGAGTTACAAGCACTGCTCTGATGTCATGGGATTTATGTTCAGAGATATTTTTCCATGGTGTAACCTCTTAACTTGTGAGACACTATATATTCTATCAAGGAATACTGTTTAATTAGCATCTAAAATGAGAGATGCTTGTGATATGGAAGACATTGTTATTAAGCATTATTATCTATTCACAGTCAATGTATTTTCCTGAAATCAAAATCTTTAGAAAAGCACCCGGGAGTGGATTTAAGTGAGTGATCAATCAGTGAATGATTTTATCAGAATGATTCTAGACACACGGAGTAGAAAATCTCAGAGAAAGATCCTGTATTTGCTTGTGTAGATTTTCAAGATTCATAGTCTGAAATGCATTGATTTATTCCTCTGCAATTTGCAGTTTACCAAAATCAGGTGTAGCAATTCATCACCTTTCATAAATGTATATCCTTAGCAGACTTAAACTTTGAAGTAGGTGTGAGCCTTCCCCCTCATAAAACACCATTTCCATCATCTGCTCCATCAACAGTGTTTGGCATATCTGTGATTAATTTCAGTGCTTTTTATCATTGTAGCATGATGCCTTTTCCCCCAGTTTTACTGAGGGATAACTGACAAATAAAATTTATGTACGTATTGTGTGTGGTGTACATGTTTTGGTACTTTATGTGAATATTGTAAAATGAGTACTACAATCAATGTAGTTAACATATTCATCAGCACATATAGTTATATCTCCTTTTGTGGTAACAATATATAATATTTACCCTTTTAGCAATTCCCATGTGTACAATAAATTATTATTCACCATAGTCATCATGCTGTACAATAGATTTCCAAAATTTATTCAGTCTAACTGAAACTTTGTACGCTATAGCCAACATCTCTCCATTCCCTGCCTCTCCCTCTGCCTAAGCTCCTAGCAAGTACCATTCTACTCTTTTTTTCTATGAGTGTGTTTGTGTAAATTCCACATAGAAGTGTATCTGTCCTTCTGTGCCTGGTTTATTTCACTTACCGTAATGACCTCCAGGTCATCGATGTTGCCACGAATAAGAGTTCCTTTTTTTGGCCAGCAGGGTATTGCATTTTATATACCATTTATCTGTTCATAAATACAGGATGGTTGTGAAAAGATAATAATGAATGCAGACTTCTTTTCAATATACTGATTCTATTCCCTCTGAATATACTATGATCTGAATATGTCCTCCAAACTTCATATGTTGAAACTTAATCGTCGGTGTAATGGTATTAAGTGGTGGAATCTTTAGGAGACATGACTCATAGGAGTAGAGCCTTCGTAAATGATGAACAACCCTACCAAAGGAGTGGGAGGGATCTGCCTCCTTCTCTTTCACCATTCTACTCTCTGCCATATGGGAACACAACACTGACATAGCAAGAAGGCCCTCACTGGGCCCTAAATGCTTTTGTCTAGAACTTGGATGTCTTAACTTCCAGAACCGTGAGAAATCAATCTTTCTCTTTCGTTCTTTCTTACCTTCCTTCCTTTCTTTTTTCTCCTCTCTCTCTCCCACCTTTCCCCCTTTCCCCTCCCCCTTCCCCTCCCCCTCCCCCTTTCCTTTCCTTTCCGTTACAAACCTTTGTGTAGAAAGCTGACTTTCAGTAGATCCAAGTGAGGGAGCTGCTCTGCTACACAGGAAACCCCAACCCAGAAGCAGGTCCTCTACAAATGACTGAGCGCCAGGTTCCCCACAATCTGTGTTCAGTGACTGGCAAGAGGGCGGCCCCCCTTCCTGCCGCGCCCGGGGAGGAAGGGCTTTCCGCACTAGACAGGTCCCTACCAGCAGCGAGGGAGAGGCCAACCGAAGTTCCTTCAGCACTGTGTATCATTCGGCCTGGACGGGATTCTGACTTGTTCAGTCACAATCCCACAGGTGGTAGCTGCGCCCCGTTCGCTCCTCTGCCAAGCACATACACCAAATGTCTGGACCTGCAGTTCCTCTTGTACTAAGCAGGGTTACTATGGCAACAACACATCATCAGTACAGTGAAACTAACCTGTCTCACAACGGTTAAATTTCTATTGTTTATAAATTACTCAAGCTATATTATTTTGCTCTCTCAACATTAACAGGCTAAACAATATAATGTCACTTTTCTGCTACACATATAAAGCTCCTGATACCTGCAAATTAAAGGAGGAGAAGTTTACCTTGGCTAATGGTTTTAAAGAGTTCAGTCCATGCCTAATTGGCACAAAGGCAAAAAATGCATACTAGAAGGGTCTGGTAAAGGAAAGTTGCTTGATCCAAGGCAGCCGGAAAGCAAAGAGAGAAGGGAGGAGCTAAGGACAAGAGTAAAATGTTCCAGGTCATTCCTCTAATGACTTAACCCTCTAATCATGCTCCGCTTCCTAATGACACGATCCAGCTACTTTCCAGAGCTTCACCTATGAACACATGTGACCTTTGGGGATACTGTAAATCTAAACCATAACAGATAGGATATATACCCAGTGCATTGCTAAGTCTTCTGACAACTCTATTTTTAAATTGTTGAGAAACCTCTATCATTTGTACATAATAGCTATACTAATTTACATTTCCACTAATAGGTGGAAGGCTTCCTTTTGCTGTACCAACATTTATATATTTATATGTGTGTGTGTGTATGGATTTTTTGTTGTTTGTTTGTTTGGGTACCAGGTAACAAGCTCAGGACCTCATACTTGCTTAGGTAGGTGGCAGAACCACTAAGCTAAATCCCTGGCCCTGTTTTAATTTTTTTGATAATGGCCATTCTATCAGATGTTAGGTGATATTTCATTGATAATTTAATTTACCTTTCCCTGGTGATGAATCCTGTTGAATATTATTTTCATATAATTTACCCATTGACCATTTGATGTCTTCTTTTTGGAAATAACTATTCAGGCAATTTCTCCACTCTTTAATAAGGCTATTTATTTTCTTGCTATTGAGTTCCTTGTATATTTTGGATATTATTAACTTCCTATGAAATATGTGGTTTGTAAATATTTTCTCCATTTGGTAGGCCTTTTGCTGTGCAGAAGCTAAGCTCAGTGCAGCCTTTGTTGTTTAGTTTGCTCCTCTTGTCTATGCTTTTGGGGTCATATCCAAAAAAGATCACACAACATCAATGATAAAAAGGATTTTTCTTATTTTTTTCTTCTAGTTTTTTTCACCAATTAAGTTTATTGGTACATTTTAGCTATACAATGCAGTTACATTCATCATTGGACTCTTGTACCTTTACATGATGTATCTTGGTTCTCATGTTTCCCTATTCCCCTGCCCTCCCTTAATGCCCTCTACCCTTCCCTATTTACAAAGATTTTGTTTCCATTTTTTTTATTTTCTCATATATTTTCTTTTCCCTTCTTACCTTTCCCTTACCCCTCTCACTTCCCCAACTGCTTTAGACCTTTTCTTCCTATTACAAAATAAAAATTATACAGTTTGATCCTTATTCATACTTGTAGTTTTTCATACCAGAGAAACTATTTAGTATTTACACTTGTATCATATGTATTTCACTTGAAGTATGTCCTCAATGTACATCCACTTAGCTATAAATGTCGCTAGTTTCTTTATCGCTGAGTAGTACTCCAATTTATTAAAACAAACAAATGAACAAACATATCTTCTTTATCCAGTCTCTGCTTGATGGGCAATTGGACTGTTTCCCTATTTTAGCTATTACTGACTGTGCTGCTATAAACATAGGTGCACATATATTGTTGTGGTATGATTCTTTTAATTCTTTTGGGAAGATACCCAGCAGGAGAATAGCTGGGTTAAATGGGAATTCTAATTCTAGTTATTTGAGGTATCTCCATATCGATTTCCACAGTAGTTGCACCAGTCTACACTCCCACTAGTAATGGAGAAGGGCTCCTTTCTCCCCACACCCCACCAGCATTTATTATTAGTTGATTTCCTGATAGCAGCCATTCTTTCTGGGGTGAGGTGGAATCTCAGTGTTGAGATTCTGCATCTCTCAAATGACCAGTAATACTGAACCTTTTTTCATATATTTATTTGCTGCTTTTACTTCTTTGCAGAGAAATGTCTGTTCAATTCAGATGTCCATTTTTGAATTGGGTCTTTGTATTTTGGGGTGTCTGATTTTTAAAGTTCTTTATATATTCTAGATAGTAGACCTTTATCTGAGGAATAGCTGGTAAAATTTTTTTCCCACATTGTAGGTTGTCTCTTAGGTCTGTTGGTGATTTCTCTTGCAGCACAGAAGATTTTTTAAAAGATGAGATCACAGTAATTCATTCTTTGTGCTAGTTTGTGGGCTACTGAAGATTCGGTCATAATGTCTCTTCCTATGCCAATATCTTCAAGAGTGCTATGTAACTTCCAGCCGGTTTAGTGTTTCTGTTTTAATATTTAAATCTTTAATCCACTTGGATTTGAATTAGTGCGTGGTTAAAGGTAGGGGTCATATATGCCTCAATTTTCTGTATGTCAAATTCTTCCCCTCTGGGAAGTTTTCTATCATTAATTTTGTGAACAGTTTTTTTTTTTATGTCATGTGTACTTTCTCCTGCTTTTTCATGGACTCCTGTGAGTCTTATATTCTTCTTCTTTGCATTGAGCTTTTGGATTGAATTTTCATGATCCCTTACTATTTTTAAGAGATCTCTCTCTTCATGGTCAGTGACCACCATCCTGTCTTCTATATTTGATATTCTGTCTTCAGATTGGCTCAGTCTGCTGTGTATACTTTCAATAATTTTTAATCTGGATATCTGTTTGAATCTGTTTCATGGATTCTATTTCTTTCCTATGTTGGGCATTCATTGCTTTTATCAGGGTCCTGGTCTCATCTATTTTTTTAATCTGTTTCTGTTCTAGAGTTTCTTATCATGTCTTTTATTCTGCTTACCATCTCTGTAGTTATCTGGGAAATTATTTCTGTTTTGGATTTTTCTACAGCCTTGTTCCTCTTTTTTGCTACTTCCTGTGCTATCAGTTCAGGGTGTCCAGGTGGTTGACTATCAGACTTTTCCACCTACTTTTCCCTAGGATTTGCCTTTGGTTAGCTGGAAGACTGGGTTTGTACCTTGCTTAAATGTCTTCTCATTTCAATTTTTGTTGTTGGTACAGTCCTTGGTGTAATTCCTGGGTTTCTATTTCAATATTGATTATTGTAAGTGTCTTTTTTGATTGTATTTAGAACCCTTATGGAAATATTGCTTCTCAGAGACAGGGTCTCACTATGTACTTCAGGCTGTCCTTGAACTCACTATGTAGTCCAGGCTGGCCTCAACATGTGGTGATGGTCCTGCTTTAGCCTCCCATATGCTGTGATTATAGGCATGAACCACCATAATCTAATTATAAAATGATTTTTCCCAAAAAATTATATAGAATGGCTCTAACAGTTATTCATATAAAGAAAAGCTATTGATCTTTGTGTGATTTATATTCTGACACATCTTTTCTATTACTATTTTTGTTGCATATTTTATGCCTTTAAAACCACAGAAAATTCACATAAGCAAATAAGTTAATTATGAATTATCTTACCATTCAGAGATGTGTGCAGTTAATATTTTGTTTTAGATCCTTTCAAAGTTTCTAAAATTTTTTTTATTCTTTGAAAAAATAAATACATTGCTTTTTTCAAATACACTTTAGGCATCTGGAATTTCCTTCTGTAATCAACTTTGGAATTCCCTTTGTTAGTCTCATGGTCGTATTCCCTGCATCCTAAGTTCCATGCCTTCCTTCCTTCTATCAGCCCTTATTTGGATGTCATGTGGTAATGGCTCAGATGACATCTGAACAACATGCTTGTCTCTTGGATCCACTGCTGCATTTTGAAAGGTTGGTGGTCTTTTTCATCCAATGTACAGTTGTCATCCTGGGATCTTGCTATTCCATCAGCCTAGAGATTCCTTGTTTCTGTCCTGTGTTGGATTCTCAATTTCCTTTGTACTGAGTCTTCCTCTCTCTGAGTTTGATCATTTTGGTGTAGCACATCTTCCCATAGTTCGTGTGCCCTTCAATCCTTTAACACTCCCAATTCCAGAAGGATCTGGTACTCCTTGATCCTCAAGTGCTTGGTTTAGTTCTTGCTTATTCCAGTTCTGATTTAAGATTACTTTTTCTTTTTTTCTCTCATTGAGTTTATTGGTACATTTTAGGTATACAGTACAGTTACATTCATTGTTGGGATCTTCTAATTTTTTAATAGTTTTTATTTTATATGCATGTCCTCAATCCATTGTGACTTATTTTTTGTATATAGTGTGAGAGAGGTTTAATTTCATTTTATTCGCAGATGGACATTTAGTTTTCCCAGCACAAGTAACTGAAAATATTATCTTTTTCCTCCCTGGATACATGTAGCAACAATGTTGAACATTAGTTGCCTGTAAATGCATGGGTTACTTCAAGGCTCCCTATTCTGTTACATTATTCTTAAATTCTGTTTTTATGCAGTAACATGCTGTTTTGATTTCATAGCTTATAATATGTTTCAAAATCAGGTCGTTTGATGTCCTTGACTTTGTTCTTTATGTTCAAGGTCACTGTAGTTACTTGGGATCTTCTGTGGTTCCATATAAGTTTTCAGATTTTTTTCTATTTGTGTAAAAAGTGTCATGGAATTTTGAGAGAGACCACACTGAATTTATGGATTAGTTTTAATAATACCAATTCTTCCAATCTATTGTCAGAGATATATTTCTATTTATTTGTATCTTCTTTAATTTGCTTCATGATTGTTTCATAGTTTTCAGTATATGGATAGTTCACCCTTCTTATTTAAGTTTATTTACATTTCTTTTATTTATTTATTCAATATTTTATTTTTGTAGCTATTCTAATTGGGATATTTTTAAAATTTCTTTTTAGGTGCTTCTTTTGGTGCACAAGAAAGTTGCAGGTTTTTAATGTTGATTTTGTTTTCTTCCACTTTATTGAACTTGCTTATTGGTTTTAACAATTTTTGTGAAAGCTT